GTACATAATAAATTTTTCTTGTTAATTTCCGTGAAAAATTACTTTGTTTTCCTCCACATGCTCAATTACAATTAGCTGAGATATCTATTAGAAATTAGATTATGCACTGGTTTAAGGGGCAGCCTAGTAAACCTGTTGTGCCGCTCGATGCAACCCATTTTGGCCCCCTTATAACTAACTTCATTGGCATAAGTCGGTAAATTAATAGATGAAAACGTACCTTTTCAGTTATGCCAAAGACCGAGTACCTAGAATAACGATGTCTGGCTCCTTTAATTGAACAAATAAAAAACTGTTCGCATTGATCGTTGTCATGTCGAAGAAATTTCTGTTCTCTTTTAGTGTTGGATGAGAGTAATTACTTCGATGTTTCCTCTCAGCTAATAAGCAGCTAATCTCTTAGATTTGTTCATTCATTTTTTGTATTCCTTGTTCAACACAGCGGATTTTTGCCTTCCTATCTAGACGCTGATAAAACGTTTTGAATACCAATACTGTACATTTATTACAAATGTGATATTATTTTTAATCCAGGATAATGGTTGCGGAATTCCGCTCGAATCACTGGATATTGTGTGCGAGCGCCATACCACAAGTAAGCTGACTGCATTCGAAGATTTGAAAGCGATTAAGACATTGGGATTTCGCGGTGAAGCCTTGGCGTCTATTAGCTACATGTCGCACTTGTCCGTCATCACTAGAACTGCTGAAGAAAAGGTCGGATACAGGGCAACCTATATAGGTAGTTGATCACTTGTTAAAAAATCTTTTTTTACTTAAGTGCTAAGAAATTATCTAAGAACTCTTAACTCTATCATTGTTTACAACAAGGCTGTCGTGCTTTACAAAATTAACCCTTTAAATTTTATAATTATACATTTTTAGTGTCGTTTATTTATTTCTCCTTCATTCATATATACTGCACATCTGAAATGGCAGATGCAGGTGACTTATTATTGCCCATATTCTTAAATTTCAACAGCATAAACTTTAACAACAGTTACAATTGCAACCATCTGAATATAATATACACTGAATGATATTAGCATGATCTGACAAGAGTTGGCTTTAAAATTATCCGACTCGTGAAAAAATCATTTCTCAGGAATGAAGCAAATATTTTGCAGATCTCATAATTCCACTGTCTGCTAATCTGACGATTGAGGACGGGATGGAGTTTCCCAGTGTCTGAGGTGACAGCAGTGATTAAATTGTTGAAATGTGAAACGACCTGTGACGTTCGAGGTTTTGAATTGAAGGGGTAGTACTTTCTGGCTGATTCGTGTATGTAATGTTTCGGGAATTCTTCAGCAATAATAAGGCTGCGGTATTTGTTGCTGTTTATTAGGAGCATCAGAGAGACTGCAGCTACTCTCTACTGAATTTATCTACTCAGCTTGACTGGTACAATATTGAAGAATGATTTGAAAGTAGAGGCAGATTATTGAAGCAAGGCATCCAAAACCAGCAGTGTAACATCCTTTCTGGCTACAGCACAATGAATCAAATTTTTTTCTCAACCTAATATGTAAGAAATGCTTAGATTAAGGAGATTTCATGCTTGCTTCATAGTCATTGAAATGGCTCATAAAATGTTTCGGTCGAAGTTCTATCAAGCGTTTCAGAAAAATAGAATTAATTGCTATCTGCGGGGAACCATTAAATTGTTATTCAATGTTTCGGAGGAATATATTCTGATTATTGGCAACATGTAGATGCCTTTTTAAGTGTATGATGGTGTCTACCTAAGGTATGCGCTATCGTTTCGGTTATTCATGATCTCTGTGGACTGCATCAGTAGCCGTAGATTATGATTAAGAAACTTCACGCTAGATATGTTCGATTGAATCACCTGTTGTTTCCAGTTAGACTTTCTTCCTCCCATACTGACCAGAATCACAAAATCGGTTAGATTCCGCATACAGTCTCAGCATAATAAATATCGCCTGATCAGAACCTAGGCCTTAAAACTCTCAGCAATCCCACTGGATGTTTTGTGCTCGTAAGTAGATGGCAGCTAGAGCATGTAGAAGTATTTGTTTACCTTAGGGTAGCATTCGCGAGTGATTGCTGTCAGGGCGTAGAAATAAGCACACGAATCGGTCAAGTAGTCAGACCGATGGAGTAAACTGGTCTGTTTGATTAAAAAAGGCTCAACAGTAATGCAGAGCTTTGTTTCCAACTTTTTGATATACTTACCTTCACCTACTGTCATGAGTACAGATTGTTGATCAGAAGATTTCCACTGTGTACAAAACAGCAGAAATGATATACCTTGATATGATTATCGGTTTAGTGAGGTTCTTTCATGCTTGAAACAGCTATTTTACATGCCTATGTTTTTGATCCTCACCTTCAAATTTGGAGGTCACAGTTGCGATGGTTGCAGTCAGGATGGTAAATGAGGAGTTCACATGAAGGAATTCTGTCCGGAAGCTGCGTGACATATAAATAAGAACCAAGCTGATTACTGTGTAACTCGATTATTAGAGCACAATGCATTTTCACACCTTTAAATCCAGTTATGTAGCCAACCTAATTATTGGAAGATCGAGGTAATGGTAAAAGACCTCCTGGTAATACTGTCCTCACAATCTGAAAGAGTAGCAAGCCATGAAAGTAAATCCCTTAAAAAATTAGTTAGCAGTTGTCAGTGAGAATTTCAGTTAACTGCAGAAACTAAAATTGTATGATGCCGTAATCTGCTTCAGTGACTTTCTAGTTCCTGTTTTTAAAAGAACAAGGAGCAGTGCAATGACATAGAATGTATGAGTCCGGCATTTTATATTGACAACACACATTCGCTGTAAAATTTGAAATTTCTCTAAGATCGAAGTTATAAGTTATAAACGAGGAGTTTTTATACAGACCGCCGATAATTTATTAACAAAAATATAGGATAGCGTTTGAATACTGAAGTTGGGCAACTCTTTGAAGAACGTATTAATATCGATTTGGAAGAATTAGTATACTAAGAAACAGTCAGAAAAAATTTTGAAATACGTTCGAGTCCAGTTATTTGACAGAAAACAGTTTTGTGAAAATTTTCGCCGAGCCTGATTTTTTTTTCATTACCGCTGTTGCTGTGTATAAAAGCGAATATTAGGGGCAAAGTTCTTTCAGTGAAGCGTTCTCATTCCCAAACGCATATTTTTTTCGTATTTTAGAAGGAACACTGGTTGAGAAACCGAAAGCAATAGCTGCTAATGTAGGAACTCAGATTACCGTGGAAAATTTATTTTATAACGCTCCATTGCGAAGTGCTACGATTAGAAACGCGACCGAAGAGTGTAATCGAATCCGTGATATTGTGACCAAATACGCCGTGCATTTTCCAAAACTGGCGTTTCTGATGAAGAGATACGATGGGAGTGGTGTGGATTTGCGTACCGAAGGAAATACATCGACTTGTTTAAGCAACATTCGCTTGTTGTACGGAGTGGAGGTTGCGAGAGAGTTGAAAGAGTTTGATTTTGAGGATACCAGATACGGTTTTAAAGCTTATGGTTTGCTGTCGAACCCGACCTTTTCATACAAGAAGCTTGAGTTCATCTTATTCATCAATGATCGTCTCGTTGACTGCCTTTCCATTAAGAAAATCGTCGAGTGGACATATGAAAAGTTTGCTTCCAGACGAATTCACCCGTTTGTTTATTTGAGAATCGACGTGCTACCTAGTCAGATCGATGTGAACGTTCATCCCACCAAACAAGAAGTATCGTTTCTCTATGAAAGCGACATTGTGGCCTGCATTCAGAAAACTATAGAGGATACGTTCGTCAGTTTTGGTGGATCGAGAACATTTTTTACATCGGTTGTTCATCCGGAGGGAAACAAAAGCTTGTCTGGCATCAAGAAACAAACCTCAACGGACGAATTATCACAAGTACTTGTCAGCAAGTCTCAGAATCCTTGTAAAAAAATTAGAACCGATGAGCGTGAGCGAAAACTGAGTGAGTTTTTTGACAGACCGCATCTGCCAGAAAGTCAGATATCTCTTAACTTTCCCCAATCACAGAAAACTCTTTCTCCGTCCCAGACAATACAGGAAGAAAATCTTGAGAAGTCCGCAATGGATACAAATATCATGGCTGATACTGAATCAAAAGAATGCAGTTCACCAGAATCGTCAGGTTCGCAGCAGATTAATTCGAAAGAGGTTATTTGTTTTTATTTTGTTTTTATATATCTGGTTAATGTTTACTGTTTAGTTCTTGCAGTCCTGCCGTAAACACTTCACGAAACCAGATTGGCGCAAGATTCAGCTATCGTCCGTCCTGGAGCTACAGCAGGAAATTTGTGGGCGTGTGTCAGCTCATCTGCGATCTATTTTCCGAGGCATGAAATTCGTTGGATGCGTAGATCCACGTTATACGTTGTTTCAGTACGACACTGGTCTTTACATGATCAATATTGAGAAGATTAGCGAGGAGCTCTTTTATCAGGTAAGTCCTCATAGCAATAAATCTTCTACTCTGAGTGTCTTACATTCAAAAGAGTAATATCGGATTGAATGGGCACAAATGCACAGTGTAAAGAAAAAAAATTTGCTTCTCATTTTACACCAGCACTGCCCCTTTCTTTTAGACGCGTAATGAGACCATTTAAGCAGACAGCCACAATGCGAAGGTCTTTTTGCGTTATTCCTTGACTTTGCTTGGGTCGAGGCTTTGTTTTCTTCTTAGGGTCTTCATTATCCTCTGAGATTGTGCAGCAAGGCCAAAGAAGAACCCTCTCCCCGATGATCTCAGTATATTGGCGTGAACAGTGGGAGACGTTGGCTGCACAGACGAATCAAAGAGGCATCAATCATCGAATCCTGCAAAATTGTCAACCATGACGAGGGATATGAACTTTCCTCGAGTTGGATGAGCCTCATTGCCCCTGTCGCCTAAAAATTATTTAACCAGAGTATGAACCGAAAGTTTGCATTCTGGCTCTGAAACTGTCGACTGTTGCGGACGACCATCTACGTTCACAAAACTTCACCACCAACCTACCTTGAAGAAGGCCCTTGAGGCACAGATCGAAACATCGATATTTGTCAGTTACCGGAGTGACCACAGTTTTTTTTTTGCGTTGCGCATAGGTGAACTGTATTTTACACTAATTTATGTTTCGTTTGATGAAATATGCTAGAGCCTATGAAATTCTAACTTGAACCATACTTTGTTTTCTGTTTAGGTACTCATCTTCGGTTTTGGTAATTTCAACGTGTACCAGTTGTCTGAACCGTGTTCCATCGCTGAACTTGTCGCTCTTGGCTTCAAGGTTCGTGACCCGTTGAGTAACGTCACAGCGGATAGTCAACAGGTAGTGGACATAAGCAATTTTCTGATGAAGAAATCAGAGATGTTGTGGGACTACTTCTCGCTACAGCTGAAAGATGGTAAATTACTGGCCCTACCTAACCTATTGGACAATTACGTGGTGCAGTTGGAAGGGTTAGCTGAGTTCATCTTGCAGCTAGCTTCAGACGTCAACTGGACAATGGAAAAGGCCTGTTTCGAAAGTTTCTGTCGGGTGGCAAGCAAATTTTTTGCTTTCAAGAAGCGTTTCTGCGATGGAGATCATGTCGGCGATGACCTTACCGTCCATTGGTCATGGGTCATTGAAAATGTCATTTGCAAAGCTGCCAAACATCGACTCCTGCCCCCTGATGACTGGGTGCGACAGCAAGTCGTTATTAAGTTAGCCGATCTCGAGACTTTGTACAAGGTTTTTGAACGGTGCTGATCGACTCTAATTCAGACTATGATCATACATTCCAACGCTGATGTTTCCTTGTTTTCGTCTTCCATAAAATTCGTCTGTCAGCAAGGCATATGCGTTTGCATAATGGTAAGGCACAGGAATGTGGCACCGCCTTCTTCAAGAAAATATGTCATTTTATTCAGTCTTCTGAACTCTGCATCGCGTGCAGATCTTAATGTTGAGGTGGCCTTGAAAGTTGATCCTTTTTTCATTCTCCTATAAAATTGCTTGGTTCGTGTCATAAAAATTTTTGTTCTTCATTGTGAGCTTCTGTTATTTGCTTTTCTTAACGTTGAGCTTAGTGCATTCGTCTGTGACTATGATTTATGCTACAAATTATGAACATGTCTCAAAAAAATTACTCTTTATCTACGAATTTCGTTTCATTAAGACGCTAACCATTAATTGAAAATAGCCCCTTTTATACCGAAAGTTTGCATTAATTTTCAAAATCTTTAATTTGTTAAAGAAACTTTTATTTTTATGCGTGTTCTGCGCAGCTCGAAAAGACGTAAGCAAGCTCTTAATAATCACGGATAAATTATACGGAAACTTGAAACAACTGATTATTACTGGTACTGAAGAAAGTGCTCTGTTTCAATTCCCATTGCTTTACTTAAATATTTTTCAAAGTTTATTCATGAAAGTTTTCTTTTGTTTATTTTCAGCAAGTGCTATTTTAGTCGCTTTCGTGTGAGAATGCACTTTGGTGCGTAGTACTAAAATAACACTGGAATAAGTCATATAACATATAACATTCATGGCCGTATCTGCTGCCAATGAGTCGAAGTTCAAAGTAGAGATGATTTAGAATCTTATGGAAGATTTTTGCTCTTATTTAAGTTTGCAGTAATATGGAATTCGACTATGCACTACCTCATATTTGAAACACACACACTTATACAGGCAAGATTGCTGAAAAATTTCTGATTTCTGCCAAATTCCAATACGTAAGAGTCAAGCATAAGGAAGTATCGCTATCCTTAACCATTACTGTCTCATTAACGGATCATTTAAAAGTTCATAGTATATATATTCCTGTTCCACCCTGCCTCTTCTTTGCAGTCTAACACTTGTTCTCTTCATTTTCATAGGCTGCTCAAGTTTCAAAATCCCAAATTTGTTATATATTATCGTTTCAGTAGAGTCTCAGATTCATGTTAGGCAGAATTTGCTGCTATGGCAAAACTATTGCTTAAAGTGCACCTTCCTTTATAAGGTGTTTCCAGGTATTAGTGAATTTTAGTTCGCTTGCAGTCAAAAGATAGTTTAATAGGAAAAACAGTTGCAAGGTTATTTGTGTTGTTTTTATGGGCGTTTTCTTAAGCCATGCTAAGTTCATGTCTGTGGATTCATACATCAGTTTATTTCACCACTTTTTTCAGCGTTCAACATTTACCACGTTCCTGATTCATAGGTAGCATTCCTGAAACTGCCAAGACAAGTTTTATGCCTTTTCAGGGCAGCAGGTGTTTCCAAACTATGTGTAAATATGGATATGTTCAAGGTTGTTTTCGAAGTGATTTCATTTCATACAACTTGGCAAAACTCGCGCATGGCGGCCACATGCATATGCTACTACCTCCATCATAGAGATGCTGGTGCTGGATTCATGGTCAGTTACGCCTAAATTGACTTTTCAGATTTGATCGTACTCTCGAAACAGAGAACAACATTTGTGAATGGCGCATATGTATCAACAGATAAGCAAAACATCGAAAAGCTGACATCCACGCAGTGCCTATTGAAAAATGGGTTCAGATTTTTTAATGCGTTATTTGTTTAACACTAGTTTTTTGAAATATGAAAATAACTTTGAAGCAAAAGTCACTTTGTCATTCGATAATTTACTAAGTTTATTAGACCCTCTCATGAATGAAGAATTTTTTTCAATTTTTGTTTATTTTCAATTATATTCAATTGCAAAATATAGTGAAATTGATTGTTCTGAAATTCTGACTTGGCAAAGACATGTTGTAATCAATTAATTACTTGTAGATTGAAACCCGTTTAGACAATGAAGGAATTAGCTAATTTTTTCGCGATTATCAATCTCAGATTGATTAAAGTGTCATAGTGTTAAAACATTCACAGATACTGTTTTTTATGTTTCGTTCATGTCTGACGAGATTTGCGTATCAGTCTTCCTGTCCTTGTCTTAGGAGAACTACTGATTTCAGTCGTAGCATTACGTTAAACCACGTATGCTGACTCAAAGCATACCAGTAAACAGCCAGATGACGACAAATATAAGCCAAATGTATATTTTTTAAAGAGCATAAAATATTCAGCGTCCCAAAATAATATATAATAAGGCGCGGAGAATGTCTATAGCAGAGTTGCTTTATGAATATGAGAGTTTGACCCTATTAAAAGAGAATAAACGATGGCAGTCCTATATGAAAGGCTAGATCAAGGCCCTGAGCATGAAACTTATAAAGGAATTTTGTTCACATCGCTGAAAAGGAGTGAGTTTTCTTTAGTGGAAATGCTCATCAGCGCAAGAATTAACCAACCTTATTAGATGAATGGGCCATCTACCGAAAGATGCGCCGAAATGCAAAACAATGTTTTCAAGGAGAAGCGCGTGCTCAAATTGTCACTCTTATTGAAATGGCTGATTGTCAAAAGAAAACCTGACAAAAACTACTTTGCAGCTGTTTCGTAATCACACGTGGCTCTACTCCTCAGCATCATTAAATACTTACTTAGCTACTCGTTTATGTTCTTAATTTTACCTTCTTGAGTTATGCTTGGACACATGGCACAGAGTATGCTGAATGAGGATATAAGTACGAAGATCAGAATATATCGTCAAGTTCATGAGACGAAAGTCCAAACGTGAAGGTCTAGGGAAGGCTAACAGACAATGCTTAAACATCCTTCGCTAATGCAGTCTTATCTGAATTCGGTATTAATTACTACCAAATCTGTTTTTGTTTTTTGTCATTGCCATCTTTATTTGTATAAAAACTGCAGGTTGCTCTAGATTCTATGAATTCAATGTGCCGTGTTTCAACAGGTTGTTTAGCGCCCTGGTGCAACAGCTCCTTATTAAACTGAAACATAAAGGGAAAATCACTTAGAAAGTTGTAAATTCTTTATTTTTCAATTCACCGAAGAAAGTACGTAGGAAACAGAGCATAAAATCTTAATGACTGTATTTTCGGCGAAGGCGGTTTTCGAGCGTTTTATGCAGCAACAAGTTCCGCGAAAACCAGGTCTGTAGAAGTTAGAATAAAAATATCAGTCACATCAGCGATATTAGTATTTGTTAGAAGAGAGAACACATTCAACTCGGCTGACATGAAGCATTTTGGCGCCATAGTGTTTTTGGCTATTTGCATTGGAAAATGTCTGCCTGTCGGATTTTCTGACTCTGACCTGTGTGAGCTGAATGAAAGTCTAAAGCCACTAGTTGGCTATACAAATTTCACCTATTTGTCTGAACTTACTTTCAGCCACTGTCAGTCAGGTGATGGTCAGTCGTGCATTTGGACCTATCAATCGTAGTTTTTATTACGGACGAGATCCATGTGATGCTTTATACGATATAGCCAACGACCATCTGAAGAGAATAAGGACTACACGGATTCAGCCTCAGAGACTCAAATCTGAATATATGCGAATATTGAGAAAGATTAAATTGGTAACGTATTTTTCGTTTATATTCTGATATGTTTCCCACGTATGTTAACAGGAAGCAAGAAAAGCTGACCGAAAACTTGACCATCCGGCTTGTCGCATGATGCTCGCTCGGTACATTCGTCGTTGAGAATGGAAGCAAGGCGAATTTCTACTGCTGCTTAATCCCTTATATCTGATTGCGAAATCATTTATTCGAATAAAAAACTAATTTGACCACATTTGACAATTGTGGATGCCATCGTCACCCAACTTCTGACAAAGATCGATGATATTTGGCTGTTGAAAAGGTGTCCCAGATTTATACATTTGATAGCGCTCACTACTGCGACAAATGTTACACCTCGCTGCAACAGATTTGTATCACCAGGTACCACAAATATTTTGATTGTTCACCGATGCGTTTGCAGCTAGTGCAGATTTTGCAGAGATGGGTTTGGAATACGCTGCCTCAGATTTTGGACATCTTCAAACAAAGTAAGGCACCGGTCTTCGAATTTTTGTAGGGCAACATTCTCCGTCTGTTTGGAGGGGTTGAACTAGTACAGTGACGCACCAACGAACAATAAAATTACCTGTCATGACATCTGCCTCACAGCGGATCTTGCTTTCAATTAATAAGCTGTGCATGTTGCAGTCGTCAACTTTAGCCATTTATTTAAACAGAACATATCTTGTTTCTGATGTTCCCGGCATTTCGGCTGTATCATTAATGGAATTATTTTTTTCTATTTTATTCATATGTTGCACGCTGGCTTTCTGGTCAATGTATGCCCTGTTCCTATATGAAAATTTCTCACTTTCGAGTACGTAGTTAATACTCAAAAACTAGTCTCCTTTTATGATCTCCACATCCAATGAGGCTACCCACTGGTGGAAGAAAATTAAGTGGTCCTGTTATTATCCTTCGCTGTGCCTGGAAACCAACACTGTTGCTCACAGTTCAGTGGTCATTCTTGGACCTGAGTTAGTCGTTAACAGACTCCAAGAAGTCATCCATTACAAACTTGGCCGATGCAAGGTACAGGCGAATTTTTATGGACTCACTCGGTTCTCAGCCCTAATTTTAGATAGCTTGTCAAAAGCACTAAAAGCAAGGAACCATCCTCCTATTTAACTGCTTGAAATGATGGATAGCACTTCCAGATTTGTTGCTTCATGTGCGTTCATCGTTATTTTAATAATAAGAAACTACTGATTGACAACATTTAAATCGAAACCAGTGCCATACTACGAGCCCCAATCCATGGGGAATTTTAAGCCAGAAAAACTTCCCATTTTTTCCAACAGCTGATTAATCCTATCCATAATGGGTTTAAAACTAAAATTATGTTAGG